ACTGAACCAGGCTGTAACCCTGAAGCTGCCTCTAACATAACCAGCCTGTAACCCACAGTGATTAGGTTGTAAGAAGCCCCGTCTCCCCTCTCCTCTCCCCAGCTGAATCCTGTCTAGTTATGTGACACTAATGACACTTCAGTCATTGCAGCATTCAAGCAGAGCCCTTCCACAGCTGCACACAGCTGACATTTCCTGACATTTTACCAACTAATTACAGTACAAATAATTAAGCATGTTCCTGGATGTAAAAAATGAAGTGGAAGGCCGTCTGTCAGAGCAGGTGATTGATGACACTAGAGGAGACGTTATCTGATGGCTGCTGGAGCCTCCAGCTACACAGGAAGCAGGTTTATTAGAAGGAACAATGCACATTCACAGGCATCTCATCCAGTTATGCTCCCAGGCAATATCCATGTCAAGGTGAATGTGACAATGAAAGCAAAATATTAGCATTTTGTGGAGCGGGCCCTAGTGTGGGGCTGAGGAGCGCGGCTGAGGGGACACCAGAGAGACGACAGGCCTAATTACTAAAGCTCACAGGCCAAGACAGCTGTTTGTCCTGTCACACAGGTAGCTAACCACACAGGGCCAATATGAGCCTGTACACCAACCACACCACTCTGTCTGTCTGTCTGTCTAACAGTAATGACCAATGCTAATGTTGCTGCCCATGTCGGAGACATTGTGTACCTGTCACAGTGCACTTCCTGCAAGCCACTCAACATTTTACTTCCTAATTATGTGTTATAGAATTAATACCTGCCTGACACCTTCTTACCTGTATAAGCCCCACCACAAATATTTTGACGGAGACAAATTGTATGTTACTATAGAAACGTATTATTTGAAATATAACTATGGTTGTAGAACATGTCTCATTGAGGTCAGATTTTTTTTGTTTTGTTTTGCAAATTAGTTTTAAATAGGATATTATTTACTGTAATGCTCAACATTAAATGTTTTAAATACATTTCCTGGAAATATTATTTTAGGTGGTGCCTCATTGACGAAACAATAATGGATGAAAATAAGGTCCTTAATAACATAAACATTTATTACAAATACACCTGATTAAGGCTACATCTACTAACCCGGTGATGAAACAAAAGTCATTCATGTTTCTTAATAAATCAACATGAAGAAAACTAATCAGTGTTGAGGTCAAGGGGAGTTAGATTGTCAAAATGGTTTAATAATATATGTTACCTAACAACTATATTCCATGACAAGTATTCTGATCTTCACTGTATATCAGAGCACTTCTGATAAACTCAGCAACAATAAACAATGGCCAGGCTTTTAAGATACCAGATAGAGTTAGGGTTAGGGTTAGATAGATACCAGATAGAGTTAGGGTTAGGGTTAGATAGATACCAGATAGAGTTAGGGTTAGGGTTAGATAGATACCAGATAGAGTTAGGGTTAGGGTTAGATAGATACCAGATAGAGTTAGGGTTAGGGTTAGATAGATACCAGATAGAGTTAGGGTTAGGGTTAGATAGATACCAGATAGAGTTAGGGTTAGGGTTAGATAGATACCAGATAGAGTTAGGGTTAGGGTTAGATAGATACCAGATAGCAAAATGTTGTGTGCATACTCTGTGATTTGGGAATCCAGATGAATCTCCACTGTGTTTTAGGGCAGGTTTGTACTGGCTCTGGAGAGAGGCGGATCCATGTGGGTTTGGATAACAGTTGGAGTGTGAGTCCCTGTAGGTCTGCTGGGGAAGAGATGGGCTGGTGGTGGTACAGTGGAGGCATGGTGGTACTATGAGATTCACTATCAGATGGGCTGGTGGTGGTACTATGAGATTCACTATCAGATGGGCTGGTGGTGGTACTATGAGATTCACTATCAGATGGGCTGGTGGTGGTACTATGAGATTCACTATCAGATGGGCTGGTGGTGGTACTATGAGATTCACTATCAGATGGGCTGGTGGTGGTACTATGAGATTCACTATCAGATGGGCTGGTGGTGGTACTATGAGATTCACTATCAGCAACTTCACTATGAACAGCTTCACTATGAACAGCTTCACTATGAACAGCTTCAATATGAACAGATTCACTATGAACAGATTCACTATGAACAGCTTCACTATGAACAGCTTCACTATGAACAGCTTCACTATGAACAGCTTCAATATGAACAGCTTCACTATGAACAGCTTCACTATGAACATCTTCACTATGAACAGCTTCACTATGAACAGCTTAAATATGAACAGCTTCACTATGAACAGCTTCTCTATGAACAGCTTCAATATGAATAGCTTCACTATGAACAGCTTCACTATGAACAGCTTAAATATGAACAGCTTCACTATGAACAGCTTCACTATGAACAGCTTCACTATGAACAGCTTCACTATGAACAGCCTCAATATGAACAGCTTCACTATGAACAGCTTCAATATGAACAGCTTCACTATGAACAGCTTCAATATGAACAGCTTCACTATGAACAGCTTCAATATGAACAGCTTCTCTATGAACAGCTTCAATATGAACAGCTTCACTATGAACAGCTTCAATATGAACAGCTTCACTATGAACAGCTTCACTATGAACAGCTTCACTATGAACAGCTTCACTATGAACAGCTTCAATATGAACAGCTTCACTATGAACAGCTTCAATATGAACAGCTTCTCTATGAACAGATTCAATATGAACAGCTTCAATATGAACAGCTTCACTATGAACATCTTCACTATGAACAGCTTCAATATGAACAGCTTCACTATGAACAGCTTCACTATGAACAGCTTCACTATGAACAGCTTCACTATGTTAGTAATGGTGCCGGAGGGGATGGCTGCCGTTTTACGGGCTCCTAACCAACTGTGCTATTTTGCTTGTTTTTTCGCATTGTTTGTAACTTTTTTTGTACATAATGTTGTTGCTACCGTCTCTTATGACATCAGAACAGCGATTACTCACCTCGAACTGGACAAAGATATTTTCTTGAATGAGTCCGAAGCATAGGATATACTTTTTCCCAGAGACCAGGCCCAAATCCCCGTCATTCGCGTGAAGAAAAGACGGAGATACAGGGGGCGGAGATCGGAGGGCCTTGTGAGAATTCGTCGGCGGGGGGGTAAACCGCTTATACCATCCGTTCTGTAACAAGAGAGTTTTCGCCTATATTATTCGTAGCCATCTATTTACCACCACAAACCGAGGCTGGCACTAAGACCGCACTCAACGAGCTGTATAAAGCCAACAAGAAAATGCTCATCCATAAACAGCGCTCCTAGTGGCCGGGGACTTTAATGCAGGCAAACTTAAATAAAACTCTAGACCACCTTTACTCCACACACAGAGACGCATACAAAGCTCTCCCTCGCCCTCCATTTGGCAAATCTGACCATAATTATTTCCTCCTGATTCCTGCTTACAAAGAACTTGCTCAATATGGAAGTGGTCAGATGATGCGGATGCTAAGCTACAGGACTGTTTTGCTAGCACAGACTGGAGCATGTTCCGGGATTCATCCAGTGGCATTGAGAAGTATCCCACTTCAGTCAACAGGTTCATCAATAAGTGCATCGACAACGTCGTCCCAACAGTGACCGTACGTACATATCCCAACCAGAAGCCATGGATTACAGGCAACATCCACACCGAGCTAAAGGCTAGAGCTGCCGCTTTGAAGGAGCAGGACTCTAAACCGGACGCTTATAAGAAATCCTGCTATGCCCTCAGATGAACCATCAAACAGGCAAAGCATCAATACAGGACTAAGATTGAATCGTACTACACCGGCTCTGATGCTCGTCGGATGTGGCAGGGCTTGAAAACTATTACAGACTACAAAGGGAAACCCAGCCACCCAGTGACGCAAGCCTACCAGATGAGCTAAATGCCTTTTATGCTCGCTTCGAGGCAAGCAACACTGAAGCATGCATGAGAGCAACAGCTGACTGTGTGAACACGCTCTCCGTATCCGATTTGAGCAAGACCTATAAACAGGTCAACATTCACAAGGTCGTGGGCCCAGATGGATTACCAGGATGTGTACTCAGGGCATACGCGGACCAACTGGCAAGTGTCTTCACTGACATTTTCAACCTCACCCTGACCGAGTCTGTAACACCTACATGTTTCAAGCAGACCACCATAGTCCCTGTGCCCAAGAAAGCGAAGGTAACCTGCCTAAATGACTACCGCCCCGTAGCACTCATATCAGTAGCCATGAAGTGCTTTGAAAGGCTGGTCATGGTTCACATCAACACCATCATCCCGGAAACCCTAGACCCACTCCAATTTGCATTCCATCCCAACAGATCCACAGATGACGGAATCTCAGTTGCACTCCACACTGCCCTTTCCCACCTGGACAAAAGGAATACCTATGTGAGAATGCTGTTCATTAACTACAGCTCAGCGTTCAACACCATAACGCCCACAAAGCTTATCACTAAGCTAATGACCCTGGGACTAAACACCTCCCTCTGCAACTGGGTCCTGGGCTTCCTGGCGGGCCGCCCCCAGGTGGTAAGGGTGCTTGCTTAGTCCCCTCCTGTACTCCCTGTTCACCCACGACTGCGTGACCAGGCACGACTCCAACACCATCATTAAGTTTGCTGACGACACAACAGTGGTAGACCTTATCACCGACAACGATGAGACAGCCTATAGGGAGGAGGTCAGAGACCTGGCAGTGTGGTGCCAGAACCAAAACCTCTCCCTCAATGTGAGCAAGACAAAGGAGCTGATCGTGGACTACAGGAAAAGGAGGGCCGAACAGGCCCCCATTAACATCGATGGGGCTATAGTGGAGCGGGTCGACAGTTTCAAGTTCCTTGGTGTCCACATAACCAACAATCTATCATGGTCCAATCACGCTAAGACAGTCGTGAAGAGAGCACGACAAAGCCTTTCCCCCTCAGGAGACTGAAAATATTTGGTATTTGTCCCCAGATCCACTATAAGCAGATTCACTATGAACAGCTTCACCATAAGCAGATTCATTATGAACAGCTTCAATATTAACAGTGTCGTGTCAGTAGGTCCATGGTGATGTGTGATGTTAGTGGTGTCAGTAGGTCCATGGTGATGTGTGATGTTAGTGGTGTCAGTAGGTCCATGGTGATATGTGATGTTAGTGGTGTCAGTAGGTCCATGGTGATGTGTGATGTTAGTGGTGTCAGTAGGTCCGTGGTGATGTGTGATGTTAGTGGTGTCAGTAGGTCCATGGTGATGTGTGATGTTAGTGGTGTCAGTAGGTCCATGGTGATGTGTGATGTTAGTGGTGTCAGTTGGTCCATGGTGATGTGTGATGTTAGTGGTGTCAGTTGGTCCATGGTGATGTGTGATGTTAGTGGTGTCAGTTGGTCCCTTGTCGGTCTGTCAGGGCTGATCTAGGACCAGTAATGTGATGTTAGGATAGTGTCAGTACTCTATCATCTAACTACCACAGGACTGATCTGGGACCAGTAATGTGATGTTAGGATAGTGTCAGTACACTATCATCTAACTACCACAGGGCTGATCTGGGACCAGTGGTAACAGGAGATGCCAGTGGTGTACAGCTTCTTAACCCTTCCTTTATGTTTGGTTCGGCTACATGTGTTATGTTAGGTTCAATACAGTAAGTACCGGTACTGTCAACACAGAAATTACAGTCAGTCCAATCAGTCCAGATTCCTTTATCTAAATTACAGTCAGTCCAATCAGTCCAGTGTATTTGTTGCTGAGAATGTCCTCTTTCAGATGCTCTTTTCCCTGGGTTGATCACCCCAACCGTTCAAAAGTTAGAGCCAAATGTTTGCTGCATGTAAAAAGTCACAAATCTGTCAGATTGCCGGTGATCCAACCTCATAAATCATAATTTGTAAAAACTCAGTTTTAGATCAACTTCATTCCTGTGCATAAAACAGCTTGTTTCTAGGACACACTGCTCAAGAGTTATAGGTCAAAGGTCAAATTGCGGATCATCTTGATTTCATATCCGGGTTGCCCAGCCTCTGAGCGTCATAGGGAAATAATAATAACCCATAATAATAACCCATAATAATAACCCATAGTTGCACCATTCCTTTGCAGAAAGCAGCTTGTTTCTAGGACACACTGTTCAAAAGTTATATAGACCAACGTCAAATTGACCCAGAACATCATGGTTGTCACTATTCCGGTACCGGATCTAATTTAAATTTGTATTAATTTATTACTGTCAAGGTGTCAGTGTGCAGCGGTAGGATGGAGTCAGGTGCAGGACACAGAACTTAGTAAACAACGAACTTTACTCGGGAAAACAACAACATCTAATAACAGCTCACAACAGTAACAACACCAAACAAAGAACCCACAAAACCATGAGGGAAGCAGAGGGTTAAATAGGGGACTAATCATACTTGATGGGAACCAGGTGTGTACAATCAAGACAAAACAACATAGAAAAATAAACGTAGATCAGTGGCAACTAGAAGACCGGTGACGACGACCGCCGATAGCCGCCCGCACAAGGAGTGGCACCAACTTCGGCGGAAGTCGTGACAGTACCCCCCACTTGACGCACGGCTCCAGCAGCGCACCGACCCCGGCCTCGGGGACGACCCGGAGGACGAGACGCAGGACGATCCGGGTGGAGACGGTGAAACTCCTGCAGTAAGGAAGAGTCCAGGATGTCCTCCACCGGCACCCAGCTTCTCTCCTCCGGACCGTACCCCTCCCACTCCACGAGGTACTGAAGGGGTTAACCCTAACCCTAACTCTGGAACACACAGCAGTACCTCTAGCCTAACATCTGACCCTAACCCTAACCCTAACCCTAACATCTGACCCTAACCCTAACCCTAACATCTAACCCTAACCCTAACATCTGACCCTAACCCTAACATTTGACCCTAACCCTAACATCTGACCTTAACCCTAACATCTGACCTTAACCCTAACCCTAACCCTAACATCTGATCCTAAACCTAACCCTAACATCTGACCCTAACCCTAACATCTGACCCTAACATCTGACCCTAACCCTAACATCTGACCCTAAACCTAACATCTGACCCTAACCCTAACATCTGACCCTAACATCTGACCCTAACCCTAACATCTGACCCTAACCCTAACATCTGAACCTAACCCTAAAATCTTACCCTAACCCTAACATCTGACCCTAACCCTTACTCTAACATCTGAATCTAACATCTGACCCTAACCCTAACATCTGACCCTAAACCTAACATCTGACCCTAACCCTAACATCTGACCCTAACATCTGACCCAAACCCTAACATCTGACCTGAACCCTAACATCTGACCCTAACCCTAACATCTGACCCTAACCCTAACCGTAACATCTGACCCTAACATCTGACCCTAACCCTAACATACGACCCTAAACCTAATATCTGACCCTAACCCTAACCCTAACATCTGACCCTAACATCTGACCCTAACCCTAACATCTGACCCTAACCCTAACCCTAACCCTAACATCTGACCCTAACATCTGACCCTATCCCTAACATCTGACCCTAAACCTAACATCTGACCCTAACCCTAACCCTAACATCTGACCCTAAACCTAACATCTGACCCTAACATCTGACCCTAACCCTAACATCTGACCCTAACCCAAAAATCTGACCCTAACCCTAACCCTAACATCTGACCCTAACCCTAACATCTGACCCTAACCCTAACCGTAACATCTGACCCTAACATCTGACCCTAACCCTAACATCTGACCCTAACCCTAACCCTAACCCTAACATCTGACCCTAACATCTGACCCTAACCCTAACATCTGACCCTAACCCTAACCCTAACATCTGACCCTAACATCTGACCCTATCCCTAACATCTGACCCTAAACCTAACATCTGACCCTAACCCTAACCCTAACATCTGACCCTAACCCTAACATCTGACCCTAACATCTGACCCTAACCCTAACATCTGACCCTAACATCTGACCCTAACCCTAAAATCTGACCCTAACCCTAAACCTAACATCTGACCCTAACCCTAACATCTGACCCTAACATCTGACCCTAACCCTAACATCTGACCCTAACCCTAACATCTGAACCTAACCCTAAAATCTTACCCTAACCCTAACATCTGACCCAAACCCTTACTCTAACATCTGAATCTAACATCTGACACTATCCCTAACATCTGACCCTAAACCTAACATCTGACCCTAACCGTAACATCTGACCCTAACATCTGACCCTAACCCTAACATCTGACCCAAACCCTAACATCTGACCCTAACCCTAACATCTGACCCTAACCCTAACCGTAACATCTGACCCTAACATCTGACCCTAACCCTAACAAATGACCCTAACCCTAACATCTGACCCTAACCCTAACCCTAACATCTGACCCTAAAATCTGACCCTAACCCTAACATCTGACCCTAACCCTAACCCTAACATCTGACCCTAACATCTGACCCTATCCCTAACATCTGACCCTAAACCTAACATCTGACCCTAACCCTAACCCTAACATCTGACCCTAACCCTAACATCTGACCATAACCCTAACACTGACCCTAAACCTAACATCTGACTCTAACCCTAACATCTGACCCTAACCTCTGACCCTAACCCTACAATCTGACCCTAACCCTAATATCTGACCCTAACCCTAACATCTGTCCCTAACCCTAACCCTAACCCTAACCCTAACATCTGACCCTAACCCTAACATCTGACCCTAACCCTAAAATCTGACCCTAACCCTAACCCTAACCCTAACATCTGACCCTAACATCTGACCCTAACATCTGACCCTAACATCTGACCCTAACCCTAACATCTGACCCTAACATCTGACCCTAAACCTAACATCTGACCCTAACATCTGACCCTAACCCTAAAATCTGACCCTAACCCTAACCCTAACATCTGACCCTAACCCTAACATCTGACCATAACCCTAACATCTGACCCTAACCCTAACATCTGACCCTAAATCTGACCCTAACCCTAACCCTACCTCTGACCCTAACCCTAACATCTGACCCTACCCTAAATCTGACCCTAACCCTAATGACCCTAAACCCTAACATCTGACCCTAACCCTAACCCTAACATCTGACCCAACCCTAACTGACCCTAACATCTGACCTAATCAATAACCCTAACATCTGACCCTAACCTAACATCTGACCTAACCCTAAAACATCTGACCCTAACCTACTCTGACCCTAACCCTAACCTAAATCTGACCCTAACCCTATATCTGACCCTAACCCTAACATCTGACCCTAACCCTAAACTACCCTAACCCTAACCCTACACCTACCCTAAACATCTGACCCTAACCCTAACATCTGACCCTAACCCAAAATCTGACCCTAACATCTGACCCTAACCCTAACATCTGACCCTAACATCTGACCCTAACCATTGACCCTAACATCTGACCCTAACCCTAACATCTGACCCTAACATCTGACCCTAACCCTAACATCTGACCCTAACATCTGACCCTAACCCTAAAATCTGACCCTAACCCTAACCCTAACATCTGACCCTACACCCTAACATCTGACCATAACCCTAACATCTGACCCTAACCTAACATCTGACCCTAACCCTAACATCTGACCCTAACATCTGACCCTAACCCTAACCCTAAACATCTGACCCTAACCCTAAATCTGACCCTAACCCTAAATCTCTAACCCTAACCCTAACCCTAACCCTAACATCTGACCCTAACCCTAACATCTGACCCTAACCAATCTGACCCTAACATCCTAACCCTAACCCTAACATCTGACCCTAACATCTGACCCTACAACCTAACATCTGACCCTAACCCTAATCGACCCTAACATCTGACCCTAACCCTAACATCTGACCCTAACATCTGACCCTAACCCTAAATCTGACCCTAACCCTAACCTAACATCTGACCTAACCCTAACATCTGACCATAACCCTAACATCTGGACCCTAACCCTAACATCTGACCCTAACCCTAACATCTGACCCTAACATCTGACCCTAACCCTAACCCTAACATCTGACCCTAACCCTAACATATGACCCTAACCCTAAAATCTGACCCTAACCCTAACCCTAACCCTAACATCTGACCTTAACATCTGACCCTAACATCTGACCCTAACCCTAACATCTGACCCTAACCCTACCATCTGCATATGCCATTCAGAAGGCCAAGACGTGTCTACATCAGTGTATTCTCAACACTTTGAGGTCAACTAATTATTAATATGTTGTATTAGCAGTGATGACAGTGTGGCGTCCTCTGGAGAGGCAGCAAAGTGTGTAGCAGGGCTATTTTTTGACATCAACAGTGTTTAGCAGATGGCGCTGTCAGTTTTGCTCTGAGTTGATGCTTTCATGCATATGGCAGCATCTTTTAAAACCAACCAGCTCATGTATTATCTATGGGCTAAAAGCATGCAACACAGGCAACCTTGTATCAAAGGAGTTCAACTTCTGTAAACAAGGAGCAGCGGTGGTGTACATGGGATTCTCCTGACACAAATAGTAGCAAAATATGGCGGTGGACAGGAAGGGGCTGCTACCTTGTGGTGAGGACATCGTGCAGGACACGAGAGGGACGGTGTTGGTGACATGATGTTAGCTGACAGGCAGGAAAACTGATGACTTTTTCATGAAGTACCTGACAACATGCATCTGACCACTAACAAATCTGCTCAGAACACATCCACAGTTCTCTGCCTCTCTCTGCTCTCTCACTGAAAAAATGTAAGATTTCAGCGGGGAAAATGTTCTGGCTGGCATGTGTGCATGTTTTCTGTAAAGCCATCACCACCTTTGGATGTTTTGACACTGAGTGGGCTTGCATGTGACGATGGTGGATATATACACTCACCAGCCAGTTTACTAGGTTCACCACCCTGTTCACAAACATGGCAACCTAATCGGCTTTGAGCGTGGTCTGTGCCAGGCGTGCCGGATCCAGTATCTCAGAAACGACCGCTCTCCTGGGATTTCCATGCATGACGGTGTCTAGGGTTTACCAAGAATGTTGCGACAAAAAAATCTAGTCAGCTCAGTCCTGTGGTCACATCCAGTCAGCTCAGTCCTGTGGTCACATCCAGTCAGCTCAGTCCTGTGGTCACATCCAGTCAGCTCAGTCCTGTGGTCACATCCAGTCAGCTCAGTGCTGTGGTCACATCCAGTCAGCTCAGTCCTGTGGTCACATCCAGTCAGCAGCAGTCCTGTGGTCACATCCAGTCAGCTCAGTACTGTGGTCTCATCCAGTCAGCTCAGTCCTGTGGTCACATCCAGTCAGCTCAGTCCTGTGGTGAAAACAGCTGGTTGATGAGAGAAGGAGATTGGCCAGCTAACAGGCGGGCTACAAACAGACAAATAATAGCACAGTGCAACAGTGGTGTGCAGAAAGGCATCTCTGAACGTGCAACTTGTCGATCCTTGTCACGGATGGGCTATTGCAGCAGACGACCACACCGGGTTCCACTCTTATCAGCTAAACACAAGAAGAAGCATCTCCAGTAGGCACACGATCACCAACACTGGATAATGAGGAGGGGAAAAACATTGTCAGGAACATGATAGTTCAGTTTACTTGAGGGGCCTGCACAGTGCCCAGACCTCAACCCAATACAGCATCTTTGGGATGAGATGGAACGGGCTGTTTGCAGCATGGTGTGCCACCGTCCAATCTGCAGTAACTGCGTGATGCCATCGCGTCAGCACGGACCAACATCCCTGTGGAACATTTCCGACTTGTAGAATTCCCAGAAGGATTCAGGCTGTTCTGTAGGGAAATGGGGGTCCGACCGTGTACTAGATAGGTGTTCCTAATAAAGTGTGTATATTCTATTCTATCACTCTCTCAAGGAATATTTCAGCTCTTCATACATAGCTACTTCTTTAGCCTAGCAGATGTCCCACTTGACAAGTCATCCAGGAGATCAGGTCTATTCAGACATAAGGAGGAGAGAAGGGGAACTTCAGGTATGTAAACATGGAGGGTTTCCTTCTGAAATGACCAAGGGATGACGTCACCAGGAGAGGAGCAGACAGTGGCAGGTGACTTGCAGTGGAAGGAATGTTGTAATAAACCCTACAGTCATTCAGTAGGAGGAATGTTGTATTAAACCCTACAGTCATTCAGTAGGAGGAATGTTGTATTAAACCCTACAGTCATTCTCTCAAACACTGATTACAAGGTGACAGAGATTCTTTTTTCCATTGCCTTGGAGCGGATAGAGAAACAATTGCCTGGAATTGACGCAGTCATGACACCAGCACCACGCAGTTTCCATTGTTGGCCAAGACTCTAACTCCTGAAAAACAGTGTATGAGATGGATGGTAAACAGCAACAAGGGTAGTCTGATTAATACGTACCTGATCCTTCACTGGTAGTGATCCATCTCCGTCATACGACAAAGTCTCTGGAATGCTTTTCAGACTTGTAGAACTTCCGAAGGATCAGGCTGTATCACTTGTATAAACTGGGGAGTCCCGAACCCTCCTCCTGTATAGTCTAAATAGTTGGTATAATTCCTATCTATAAACTCTCTCAAGGAATAGTCAGTCTGCTACAAGCTACTTCTTTACTCCTAGAGATGGTCCCCACTTACTCTCCTGTGATAGTCCTTCAGGAAGAGCGGGTAGAAGGCGAAACTCATCTGTATAACACTGGAGGTTCCATCTGGGCATGACAGGGACGACGTCCCAAACCACGAGAGGAGGTCAGCTGCTGCGGCAGCGTCACTTGACCAGGGAAGGGGAAGTGTCTGTAGACACACCCTCCTAGTATCACTGAGGAATGTTGCTAGCAAACCCCTACCCTCCATTCATAGGAGGAATGTCTGTCTCAACACCCTACTCCTTATACATGAGGAGAGTCATTAGCGCACCAGCAGTCCTTCTCTCCAAATCACTGAGTAACAGTGTGGGCAGAGATCTTTCCATTCCCTTGAACCACGAGGGAGGGTCATTGTCTGGATGACAGTCCCTACACCGTAACCACTGGGCAGTTTTCCCAGTGTTGGCCAAGAACTCTACTCTCACTGAAACACGAGGTATGAGTCGTTAGCCAGGCCACACGTCTATCTGTTAATAAGTACCTAGGATCTTCACTGGTGCGGCGTTATCCCTGGAACTGACAGATATTGGGAGCCAATTTACTCCTGTTACTGATGAGAGGTCATCTCTGGCAGCATCAACCCCTCCTCCTGTTATAACTGACTGAGGGAGAGTCAGTCTGGCAGGCCAACCCTACCTCCTGTTAACTGACTGATGGGAGTCAGTCTGGCTGCATGCCACCCTCCTCTCTGTTATAACTACTGAGGAGAGTCAGTCTGGACTGCATGCCACACTCCCTACCTCCTGTATAACTCACTGAGGGAGAGTCAGTCTGGACTGCATCAACCCTCCTCCTGTATAACTGACTGAGGGAGAGTCAGTCTGGGCTGCATCAACCTTCCTCCTGTATAAATCTCTGAGGGAGAGTCAGTCTAGGCTGCAGGCCAGCACGTCCCTACTCCTCCTGTATAACTCACTGAGGGAGAGTCAGTCTGGGCTGCAGGCCAGCACGTCCCTACTCCTCCTGTTATAACTGACTGAGGGAGAGTCAGTCTGGGCTGCAGGCCAGCACGTCCCTACTCCTCCTGTATAACTGACTGAGGGAGAGTCAGTCTGGGCTGCAGGCCAGAACGTCCCTACTCCTCCTGTATAACTGACTGAGGGAGAGTCAGTCTAGGCTGCAGGCCAGCACGTCCCTACTCCTCCTGATAAACTCACTGAGGGAGAGTCAGTCTGGACTGCAGGCCAGCACGTCCCTACTCCTCCTGTATAACTCACTGAGGGAGAGTCAGTCTGGGCTGCAGGCCAGCACGTCCCTACTCCTCCTGTATAACTGACTGAGGGAGAGTCAGTCTGGGCTGCAGGCCAGCAACGTCCCTACTCCTCCTGTATAACTGACTGAGGGAGAGTCAGTCTAGGCTGCAGGCCAGCACGTCCCTACTCCTCCTGTATAACTCACTGAGGGAGAGTCAGTCTGGACTGCAGGCCAGCACGTCCCTACTCCTCCTGTATAACTCACTGAGGGAGAGTCAGTCTGGGCTGCAGGCCAGAACGTCCCTACTCCTCCTGTATAACTGACTGAAGGAGAGTCAGTCTAGGCTGCAGGCCAGCACGTCCCTACTCCTCCTGTATAACTGACTGAGGGAGAGTCAGTCTGGGCTGCAGGCCAGCACGTCCCTACTCCTCCTGTATAACTGACTGAGGGAGAGTCAGTCTGGGCTGCAGGCCAGCACGTCCCTACTCCTCCTGTTAACTGACTGAGGGAGAGTCAGTCTGGGCTGCAGGCCAGAACGTCCCTACTCCTCCTGTATAACTGACTGAGGGAGAGTCAGTCTAGGCTGCAGGCCAGCACGTCCCTACTCCTCCTGTATAACTCACTGAGGGAGAGTCAGTCTGGACTGCAGGCCAGCACGTCCCTACTCCTCCTGTATAACTCACTGAGGGAGAGTCAGTCTGGGCTGCAGGCCAGCACGTCCCTACTCCTCCTGTATAACTGACTGAGGGAGAGTCAGTCTGGGCTGCAGGCCAGAACGTCCCTACTCCTCCTGTATAACTGACTGAGGGAGAGTCAGTCTAGGCTGCAGGCCAGCACGTCCCTACTCCTCCTGTATAACTCACTGAGGGAGAGTCAGTCTGGACTGCAGGCCAGCACGTCCCTACTCCTCCTGTATAACTCACTGAGGGAGAGTCAGTCTGGGCTGCAGGCCAGAACGTCCCTACTCCTCCTGTATAACTGACTGAAGGAGAGTCAGTCTAGGCTGCAGGCCAGCACGTCCCTACTCCTCCTGTATAACTCACTGAGGGAGGGTCAGTCTAGGCTGCAGGCCAGCACGTCCCTACTCCTCCTGTATAACTGACTGAGGGAGAGTCAGTCTGGGCTGCAGGCCAGCACGTCCCTACTCCTCCTGTATAACTCACTGAGGGAGAGTCAGTCTGGGCTGCAGGCCAGAACGTCCCTACTCCTCCTGTATAACTCACTGAGGAGGGTCAGTCTAGGCTGCAGGCCAGCACGTCCCTACTCCTCCTGTATAACTCACTGAGGGAGAGTCAGTCTGGGCTGCAGGCCAGCACGTCCCTACTCCTCCTTTATAACTGACTGAAGGAGAGTCAGTCTAGGCTGCAGGCCAGCACGTCCCTACTCCTCCTGTATAACTCACTGAGGGAGAGTCAGTCTGGGCTGCAGGCCAGCACGTCCCTACTCTGGAACAGCTACCAGGTAGTTCCAGGGAGCATATTTAACAACTCATAACATACTTTTATCATGCTGGCAATGCAAACAGAGAATAAGCTGATATTTGTTATGTACAAGGGCTGTCTGGGGGAGTGTTTCATGAAATACAAGGCCAGCTTTAAACAGGACTGATCTGTGGTCTGTTATGGCTGTTATCAGCGCATAATGTAGTCAAGGTAATAAAACAATCAAGACATGTATTCTGTACAAAGGACCATTTTATAAGGTACATTTGGGAGCAATTTGATAAGCTGATCAGTCTCCATTGTTAGCTGGAACATCATTAGATTTCATCTAAATGACTGTATGTTTCCCTTGTGTCTACATTGATTTCAGGTTAACACCAACAACCATCTTTCCTCAGTTATCACAGCTATTTCTCAGGATGTTCACTTCAACTGGTGTTTCACTTTAACTGGTGTTTCAGTTTAACTGGTGTTTCACTTTAACTGGTGTTTCACTTTATTAACTTGTGTTTCACTTTAACTGGTGTTTCACTTTAACTGGTGTTTCACTTTAACTGGTGTTTCAGTTTAACTGGTGTTTCAGTTTAACTGGTGTTTCACTTTAACTGGTGTTTCACTTTAACTGGTGTTTCAGTTTAACTGGTGTTTCACTTTAACTGGTGTTTCACTTTAACTGGTGTTTCACTTTAACTGGTGTTTCACTTTAACTGGTGTTTCACTTTAACTGGTGTTTCACTTTAACTGGTGTTTCAGTTTAACTGGTGTTTCAGTTTAACTGGTGTTTCACTTTAACTGGTGTTTCACTTTAACTGCTGTTTCACTTTAACTGGTGTCTCACTTTATTAACTAGTGTTTCACTTTAACTCATGTCTGTCTGTTTGTCGGTCTGTTGGTCTGTTGGATGTTTTATTTACAGCAACAAGGATAAATTACTCATTATATTTATAAACAAATCAGAAATGACAGCTGGTGTTTATTTGCTGTGTTAGAAAAGTTATTTCCTTGGTTTCAGAAACCAGGCCCTGGCCTAATAACTGGCAGCCTCGTCAGTCGCCAGCATGGAGAACATTATTCATTATTCATGCTCATTAAATTCTGGGCCTCATATGAACAGCAACTGCCAGCTTGATGCCAAACTGTGTTGGTTTTGTGATGTTCCCACTTGAGACCCGGGGATTTAAATCCAGGACACCACTTCTGAATAACCAGCAGACAAATACACAATCATTCTGCTTCCAGTTTCATTTGATCACATTTGACAAAATACACTATTCTTTTCACCTCTATTCTTTCCATGAATAGGATTTGGAATTAATAAAACTGGCAGTGAGCTCCGTCTCTGTGTGAAATGGATTTAGGGGAAAGGGATCTGCTGTAAATGTGTCGTTCACATTTCTCTGTAATTCTTCCATACACCGTAGCTCATTGGTTGTTTTGCTAGAAAACGGCACTTGTCAACATACCCACTCTGTGAAATACATCTCTGCGCCAACGTGGTAACATCCACCAGGTATTGCATCATATCCTATTCAATCCTCTCCTTCACACTCGTACTACAGTCCTTAATGTGCATCACACCTTCCAGATTCTATGTAGAAACATTTGGAAAACAAACCGAACTGAATCAGCCGTCACTTCAGCTACAGCAGATCAGTCCTTTGTTAGAGGAACATTTGGAAAACAAACCAAACTGAACCTCCTGTCACTTTAGCTACAGCAGATCAGTCCTTTGTTAGAGGAACATTTGGAAAACAAACCAAACTGAATCTGTCTTCCCTTCAGCTACAGCAGATCAGTCCTTTGTTACAGGAATATTTGGAAAACAAACCAAACTGAATCTGCCGTCACTTCAGCTACAGCAGATCAGTCCTTTGTTAGAGGAACATTTGGACGGTCATGCTCCAGACTAGATGTATTATTACTTTGTGATGTCGGTACTAGTCCTAAATGCTACATTTACATGATCGCAAAAAGATTTGAACATCTACAAGGGTTTAGATGTGGATTTGAGAGGACTGTGATAGGTGGGACGTGGAATACATATGAAAACACTAGCTGGCGCACAAAATCTGATATTAAGGAAGTCTCAAGGTTTTGCTCGCCTGAGGAAGAGTATCTCATGATAAGCTGTAGACCACACTATTTACCAAGAAAGTTTTCAGAAAGGTGTCATTGTACGCTGATGATTCATGTTTTCTTTTAAATCCACAACTATAATCACTCCACAGCCTCATAGAGGATCTAGATACATTTTCTAACCTCTCTGGATTACAACCAAATTATGACAAATGTACTATATTACGTATTGGATCAATAAAAAATAAAAAAATTACATTGCCATGTAGTTTACCAATAAAATGGTCTGATGGTGATGTGGATATACTCGGAATACATATACCCAAAGGAAATAAATGATCTCACTTCAATAAATTATAATAGAAAGTTAGCAAAAATAGATAAGATCTTGCTACCATGGAAAGGTGGGTGC